ATAGAAAATAGAGATAACGTTGGTCAGGAAGTTATAAGATATGAGCAATATAAGAACTGAAATTGGGGATCATTGAGGGATGCCATTGCTTAGAGGGAAGGAATTGGAGAGATGTTTGCAATTTTTAACTATTTTTTTGACTATTTTAACTATTTCCTGTTTGCCATAAAGTTTTCGACGTAGTTGATCATACGTGTGCCTATCTTCCAGGAGCTTAGCTGACTTATTACTGTATGTATCCAACCTTATGGCTATTATTTTGCCTAGGACCTTGGCTAGACATGAATTTAAGAAGGTATGTATGATTTTATGCCGATGGGGGTTTAGACTAAATTTAAATGATTGACGGATATGTGAAGAGAGAATTTGGTTGAAAAGACTAATTATTCTAAATTTAAAGGAGATGGTTTATGATCATTGGATAAGGTGTGGTGTGTTGCCTTTCAAGGAGTTAAGGGCGGAAGAGAATTCAATGTAGGATATAGCTTTTTCAATTTCCAGTGCGGTATTAGTGGGGATATAACTTTGGGTTGGGACAAACTTTGCTAAGTCGGAATGTTGGCGAAAAGTTGTGATCGCCGTCTTCATCAGTTGAAATGTGGACAAAAGAAGTGGGATTGTTTATTAAATGGATGATTTTCTGGGGGAATAAAAAGCATAGCCTCTTAATATGTGACCATGTTTTGGTTGGGTTTGAAAAATGGTTGAAATCTGAGGTAAACTTTAAAGAAAAATGCTTTCTTGGCTTCTCTAATTGATCTTTTCAGTTTAGCGTTCACTTTTTTGTACGCTATTATTTTGTAGGAGCTTACTTCCCTTTTGACTACCTACCATTTATGGGCTTTGTTTTTAATCCGAGACAGGTCGTTGTTTCACCAGGGAACAGTGCATGGTTTGGTAAAGGCGGTGTTTTGTGGAGTGGGCAGTTCAGCACTTTGGTAGCTGCATCTTGGTTAATGTTAGGATTTGAGTTGTAAGCCCTATTGGAACTGAGGATTTTGCGGTAAACGTAGGTGAGGTTGAGATTTGAAACATGGATATTAGTATAGTGGTCGCTGCCGTAAAGATCATCAACTTCCCAGTTGACTTTAGGAGCGTATTAAATGGAAATGTCTATGTGGGTGTATGTGTTGTGGGTTGAGAAGTGTGCTAGAGATTTCTCGATGAGAAGGATATAGTTAGAACGGTCTAAATATTTGGCTATAGGTTTGCTCCTGACGTTCCATTTCGGCGAGCCCAATACGGATGCCAACTGTTAAAGTCACCCGTCACTAGTGTTTATAAATTAGGGAAGTAAGAATGGGGGATGTTATAGAACACCTAATACTTGTAGGTCCGCCTTTCCTAAGACAAATCGTAACGTCGACCTCTGTCATCTAAATTGCACAGGGACCTCATTTATTATTGTCAGAGCTTTCAAAACCTGATAGTAAAACTCCGTTAATTTCCGTGGATGCGGATAAAATCTTCACACTTTCCTTCACCTGGAAAACGTGTCCTCACCTTCACCACAAGAATGATCTCAGCTTACTTACTTCTTACTTCTTAGCTACTGCTACCGTATTAGGAAACGGTTCAGAAGCCTTTGTTCCTTGCCGTGTTCGGCCTCCCAAGTACATCTTATACATTTGGTAGCAAAAACAACACAGAAACCGTTCAAAGATGTATGAATAACCTTTATTATTATTCAAAAGTATATCTTAATATCCTTACCACCTTAGATCCAATACTAATTTACCCTGACTTCAACAAACCATTTCAATAAACACGGAAGCAAATATAGAAGCATTACACCCTAAGCGAACATGAAACTCATTTTGTAACAATAGAATAAGAACGTTTAGCTATTGTTTGGGCAACAAAATATTTAAGATCATTTTCATTTGGCACACATCTTTAAATACTAACCAAAATACAAATCATTAGACTGCTTTCATAAAATGAATTAACCAAACATGAAACGTTGAAGATAAACGAATAAACTGAATTTTACTATCATGATATACTTGCCAGAAAAGGAACTTATGTAGCTGATGAATTACTAGAACTTTAATAAATAATAAAAACAGCAAATAGTATAGGTTTAACCATACACAACACAGCAGTTGATAATTAAAATAACATAAAGACCTATAAACTACTTCTTACAACAAATTGAGTTATTAATTTCAAATTGAGATTACACATTATTTTCACAAATAAAAATGTTATATAAGAAAATGACAGAAACATTAGAAATGTAAATAATTAAGGAATAATTATGTACAAAGAAGAGAGCTATATTCCTTCACGATAATTTAGATTTCCCTATATTCCAAAATGCATACTGTAAATTAATAAATACAAATCTCTTCAAAAATCTAGTAACTGAAGATGCAGAATTCAAAGAAACCGTATTGAGAAGAACTGAGATTCACTAAATCATGTAATTAATAACACGTTATTGGTCAAGAGAAAACCATATTTCCCAGACTAGCATAGGCTAATAAGCTAATCAGAACATAATTATCGAATGCGAATATGAATTCAACACAACATGGAACTTTCAACTTACCTATCACTGAAGGGAAAAAATAGATACAAAGTTTAAATAAAAATCATCATGATTATGAAGTAGACACAAGATTTGGACAAGCACATTTAGTAAAATCCAAAACAACAATTCCCTTCAAGAACACAAGGATCATAGAACGACTCGATATAAATTATTTTAAAGAAACTGAGGAAGGAATTGCTATAAGTCCATATTCCAAAATTGAAACAAAATTAATAAATGTAAGTACGATAAGTATGCAAATTCAGTTGGGAAACAAAATTTTATTGAAAAAACTGATAACCACAATGCTAATAGTAATGAACGAAATTACCCATATTAAAGCACAAAATGGATACCTTGTATTCAACCATTCAACCATAATGCATTACCAAAACCGCATTAGCATTTGAAAATCTATTCAGATACAATAGCTAGTGTAAAGACTTATAAGACAAATTGACAGAATCAAAATAGCCAAACGTACCAAAAGAGATTTGTTCAATATCATTAGATCTTAAAAGTACTTATTCGAAACATTAAACCTAAACGACGAGGATGGTAATATTATCCAATATTATCCAAAACATCGACTTGAAGATATTTGAAGATGTAAACAGCGGGATAGAATTGTTGAATGAATTAAGAGAAAAATTACAAAAGGAACAACAGGCCAGTGTCTTAATATTATATTTCATGTACAACAATTCACAGAACACGTAGAATATATAGAATTATGAATGCAGTTAACTGGACTAGGAATTATCGATCTAAAACTATTAAAACTTTTTTTTTTTAAACCAGTATATTCTAAGATATTGTTGAAAATAAAAACATCATGATCAACATCCCCCCACGTATCGCCAAAACACCAGTTTTCAGAAACCATCCCTTATCCTGATGATAAGAACATACTAACAAAGAAATTAGGTGCAAAATATTACTTACACTATCTGTCAGGTTTTTACTTGGTTAGCTGTTGCTGTGATATGTAATTCGGGAAAGAACAATATTAACAAGCTAAATCTCCACGAGGCCTGCATACAAAAGTTTGGATTTGTCCCTATATTTTCTTTATGACTTGTTCTAGTTCTAAATTCATACACCGTACCTTATTAAGGAGAAGCGATAGGTGTTATTAGGTGTTTTTGTTAGCCATGTGGAATTTGTCTGATTTGACATATCAAAAGAAATTGGAAAAATATGTTTTAAATAATAATAAGTTTTTAATAAAATCAAAAACAAGATAGAATGCAATAGTAGAGTTCCCCGACTATGAGATACCTGTTACCCATCTAGTGGAAGTGCGAACGAGAAATTTCTTCATTTTCTGGAATATCGGTAGAAAGAATATCATAATATGAATCATAATATCATAATAGGAATATCATATGGATATGACATAATCCATATGACAAGGTGTCTACCAATCCGTAAACAAATTCCAGCAAACTACCTAATAACACTTCTCCTTAATAAATGAATCTATAATTAGAACGTATATGTTTCTGGAAGCTGCATACTTAGTCTCAATATTCTTGCTTTTGTAATTCCTGAGATGGAAGCGGACATGACCAGATCGACTCGCCTATTGGTCCTTTTAAAAAATGTTTGGATATTTTATTTTTTTTTTTTATCTATTTTTATCGATTCGTCAATCCGAAAATCTTTTCGACACGTTCACTCTAACGCCCACAAACCGCCCCAAGCTTTCGCGACCACAGTTTTGAAAAATGTTTAGAAATTTTTTAATATTTTTGTTATTTTTTTTAAATTACTATCGATTTGCCAAAAAATCCTTCACTAGGTGAGTAAAGGGTATCTAATAGTCGGGAAACTCGACTCATTCTCTCCATAAATCGAAACCAAAGTATATTGTAGATGACGTTAGAACTAGAAAAACAAAATTTTGGTAAGTCTGTTTATAAAAAAAAATTCGATATATTTCCATAACATTATTTACATTTTTCACAAAATAAGGTGACAGATTGGCCCTAACTTAGAAAATCTGAATCGGCCTAGGCAGCAGTATAAGCCCATAGTATTTTGGAAGTGTCTTTTCCGCAGAATCTCGATCGGTTCTTATACTCGTTACTCGTAGAGTAAAAGGGTATACTAGATTCTTTGAAAAGTATGTACCAGGCAGAAGGAAGCGTTTCCGACCATATAAAGTATATATAAACTTGATCAGGATCAATAGCCAATAACCGGCCATGTCCATATGTGCGTCTGTCCGACCGTTCGTCTGTCCGTGTGAACTAGAATGTTGAGATTAAGCATGCAGCTTCCAGAGATGTACACGCACAACACCCACAAACCGCCTAAAAATACCACGCCCACATTTTTGAAAATTTGTTTTTCACTTTTTTATTAGTCTTGTAAATGTCTATAGATTTGTTAAAAATCGTTTTGCCACGCTTACTCTACCGGCCAAAACTGTCACGCCCACACTTTTAAAAACATTTTCTTCATTTTTTAATTTTATTCTCAATTCTTACCTGGGTTGGCTATCACCCAGGAAATCATGAAATCGAAATAATAAGAAAATTAATCAAGAAGTAACACAGAGACCTCAAGCCATAGATTTTAAAATAAAAATCCGATTTCCAACGTATTTGACACATTGTTCGCTAGGTAATGTTAAAAACTTAATTAAAAATTAAACATTTTTTATAATGTGGGCGCGCTGGTTTTTTGGGTTTATTAGGACAGACAGACGTGGCTAGATGGTTTTGGATATTTATCCTAATATCTTATCTATTACTTTTCAATGAATGTATACTCTACGAGTAACCCCTTTACTCTACGAGTAACAAGCAATGAAATTTAACGCCATTTTCGTTATTGGGTATACAATACTGTCACGCATGATTATAAGGCTATTAAAAAATTCATTTTTTTTTTAACTAAAACTTTCCCTTAAGGATTTTGTTACATTGATTATGCAGTGTTTATAAATGTATTTCAATCGAAAGTGACAAAGAAGATATATGATTATTGTATTGTAAAACATTTGGATTTTAAAAAGTGATTTCCATCAGTTCAAATACTTTTTGTAAGGCGTAAAAAAAGAAGCTTCTTAAATACGTGTTATATTGATTGCGTCATTTATAGATTCTCTTCTTAATAACAGCTTCTTATCATTTTCTAAATCAATCGGAGATATTCCAGAGCTACGGTCGTTTAAATAAGTAGTATCTTCCTCCACAATTTTTTCGAGGAAAGCATCAGAGCTGTTTAAGACTAAAAACTTTATTAATTACTGATTTCAATAAGCTGATACTAATTGTTTTACCATTATGGCCAACTATCGGTCCATTGCACATATTTTCAGCAGAACTGCAATTTACGACGGAAACATCTGTAGGAGAGTTATTACGTCCACCCTTTTGTAAAGCAACCGCTTTTCGAGCATGGCGCGTTGTCAAAACACCAGTTTCAACATCTCTTTCAAGTCGGTGTCCTAAAAATTATGTATTTATTTTGAAAAATATTTTACATATGTAATATTATATTACCAGATCGAGATCGAGTTAGTTGACGTTGTACATAGTCTTCAAGATCCTCCTCCTCCTTTCGACTTATAAGACAGTTTAAAATTAGTAAAAACAGTCCCAGTCCAAGGGAAAATAATCCTGTGCAAGTAACTTCATTCCACCATGCTGAGCTTGAGCCTAATAAATCGATTAGATGCAGCAAATAAAACAAGGAAATTATGTTAAAATTACTTACTAAATACGTTCCATGACATAGTTTCGTCTGGAATAATACCAGCGCCGCAAAGAAAAACTCCAAACACAACGAATACAATACCTATATGCAACATGCCAATACTAGTAACTACCTATATTTAAACGATAAATAACATAAAGTTTACTGTTGTTTTCCTATTTTGATATTCTTAAACATAAACCTGGCTGTCAAGCATTCCGGTGCCGGGACTAACTGCATGCCGAGGGTGGTGATATTTTCGTCTCACAGATCCTGTTGGAGAATGAAATGTTTCGCCGCTCTCAGAACTTTGCGTGCTATAGCGTCTTTCCCGAGCCCTTTTTTGTTCATCACGACGTTTCCGTTGCCTTTTGATCGCCATTGCGGAATGAATGCCCACTGAATGCATTTTAATTCCTAGAATGTTGTTTTTACTATGAAATGTTTGTACTATATTTTTCATACATTTTTGTTTTAAATAAAAATTTAATTAAAGTTTTATTTTTATTTTTATTTACGGACTAGGATGAGGGGCCTTGGCGGCCATGTATTTGAAGTCTGTCTCCGTTTTAAACAAGCCATAGATTTCGCTTTCTTCTACCTATTACATACGTTTCTACGTTACTCTACAAGTGACAGGTATAGAAATGTTGCCTTTGTTTCATATTATATTATATTTATATCGCTATGCGAACAAAGCACTAGCACTCCCACTAGCTGAGTAAAGGGTATGAAATAGCCTAGGGAATCGAGTTCAACATTTTCTTGTATCTTATATTTATTTTATAAATATTAATTGAAAAGTTTGTATTTTTATACACGTTAAACGTAGAGTAAAAGGGTACACTAGATTCGTTGAAAAGAATGTAACAGGCAGAATAAAATGTTTCCGAACATATAAAGTAGTCGATCAGGCCATGTCCGTCTGTCCGTATGAACGCCTTGATCTCAGGAACTACAAAATGTTGAACTAGAATGTTGAGATTAAGCACGCAGCTTACAGAGACTTAGACGCAGCGCAAACCGCACAAACCGCACGGCCACACTTTTGAAAACTGTTTTTTAATTTTTTTATATATATTGTACATTTCTACAGATTTGCCAAAAAACTTTTTGAAAAATGCTGTGATATTTTTTCAGTAAATTTTTGTAAATTTCTACAGATTTGCCAAAAAACTGTTTGCCACGCCCACTCCAACGCAAACCGCCCACAGCGGTTTAGCATTGAAAAATGTTATATCTTTCACTTTTTTCAAAATACTTTTTGCCATGCCCTTTCTAACGCCCACAAAACGCACAAAACTCTCATGCCACCAACCATGAAACGGAAGTCCAGCTGGTGCCGCCTCAGATCGCAGAAAAACCTAAAGGCGTACAGCAAAAAAAGGCAGAAGGGTCCTACCAGCGCTCAGTTGTCAGCTCGTCAAATACTTCCAGCAGGATTGCCCATATTTAACGTGAACCCTGATGAGTGGCAACATCTGTGCTACTACGCAGGCCTGCCATCTTGATGCCCAATTAAACAACACCATGCTTGCAAGGGAGTTATTTGACAAGCTTCCAAACCAATACAAGCTGAACAGGGCAATGCACCCAAATGATTGAAAAGTATCAAGAGTAAAGGCGTTTAGCGATTGGCTGTTTACTATCGCCGAAGCTGCCTCCACCGTAGTTTCAACTTCATCTGCAAAGCCAAATAACGTGCACACTCACACCAGCTACAATAACTGAGATCTTCAGCACATCGAATCAAACGAATTCGAACAGTCAATAAACACGTCTTGCCTTGTCTGCCAAAGTACCCAGCATCAAGTCTCACAGTGTAAAAAGTTTTAAAAGCTTACCTATAAAGGAAAGCAACTAAACATTCGCGATAATCGCTTGTGCTTTATATGCCTAAAAAGACACGGAAGGAGATGTCAATAAACAATATCTTCGAATCATGCCCATGAAGGTTCGAAACAATCATATTACCGTCGACACCTACGCTATCTTGGACGAGGGATCCTCGAGGACACTTGGTGACATACAAGGCACTTTGGATCCATTATGCATGCAGTGGACCAATCAAACCACAAGGATGGGAAGAAACTCAGTTCGCTTCAATATACGAGTCTCTGGGGCAGACAATACAAAAACTTACTGACTAAATGACGTTCCCACCGTCAATAACTTGGGTTTACCACAGCAAACCGTCAACGTTAATGAGCTGATCACCAAATACCCACATTTAAATGGAATTCCTTTAAAATCATATTGCAATATTGATTGGTACGAATAACTGGAATTCCTCGAGAAATAAAAGAACGAAAGTGGAACGAGCAAATCGCTTCAAAGTGCACGCTTGGCTGGGCACTACAAGGCTGCGTCAGAACCAAAAACACGTTTTCTATGCATCACTGTCAATACAACAGGAACGAAATTGATAATGCCATAAAATAGAGCTTTAAAGACGACTTAGTTTATCCAAAAAGCGTTTCTTTCCATCAATGACGAAAAAGCCATGAAGTCGTGCTTCTTCGGCGCGGTACTAACTCTCCCCTACCGGAAGGCTATAACACCTCTCTGAAGAGACTAACTGTCTAAAAAACAAAAATCAGCAGAGATCCTGATTTATACACTAAGATTGAGCTACAAATTAACAACTTGAAAGAGAATGGGTATCCAGTCGAGTTTTTCAGTGACATGATTAAAAAAAACGACGAAACTTGAAAAAATGGATACGACTGTAACCTTCGGTCAAATAATGTGCTCAAAGGACCTATTGTTCAATTAAGCTCAACATTCAAATCAGAAATCGACACACTTCAGTAAAAGGGAGTCATAAAAAAGGCGAGCTTTTTAATCGGACTAAACGTTTACATCGATGATTTCGGAGTATTACGCACCTAACGCCGGTCGGTTTCCATAAACCAAAACTTAAATCAAATTGTTTTGCTAAATCGCCATCACATCTCTCATTTTATAGTAAAGGACTTCCAAGAAAGAAATCATCATCATCATGAAGGGACCATTTATTTAATACGAAGCCATTATTTTATTCCTCGATTGCGTGAAATGCTCAGAAATTTCAAAACAATTCCGCCGTCCCGGAACCACCGCAAATGGCACCAGTGCCACCCGCCAGGTTCGCCAAATATGAGTACAACGTTAGGGTGTTATTTTCGCATGCCGGACTTTACGCGCCATTCATATAAAAATAGCCCAGAGATTGGATACGAGCTCATATGAAATGTGTCTCACAAATTTTAAAGTAACGGAGAAGGTGGTGAAGGAAAAACTTTTAAAAGTGGAATTCCGAATTATTTTGTATTAATCTTATGTGTATATCGATCACACATCGGCTTGACCGATTCGTGACTACGCCAATGGACGGCCACCACTACATATCCAGAAGGATCGATAAGGCAGTTGTGGTGCGATCTCAATGGAAAGAAGAAGATTTTTTAAGGCTCTTAAACATTTTGTTTGTAAAATTAAATAAATGTATTTATTATTAAAAAAAAAATGACTATAAATTTAAAAAAAGCATTTAAAAGCTTGTTATTTAACAGTCGGCTGCAACAGATCGGTTTGCTCAAAACTCAATCAATATCACATGACATGATTGAAAGAATAAGTAAACAAGGCAATACAAAACCTTTTCGAAGACGGTAGATGCGCAAAAATGCGAAAAAAAAATATCGCAGTATTAATTACCGGAAACTTAATAAAATAACCATTGCAGAACCCAATTCCCGAAATAAATGAGATACTTACACATTTAGAGAGCAATAAGGTTTTCTATGTTTTTGAATTAAAAAAAAAGTTAGTATTCATCGAAATAAATAAATTTTTTCTAAATTATATTACATTCAATGGCTACAGAAGACTTTGGAGTCCCTAAACACATCGTTATGGACAACGAATGACACAACGAAAGATATTACAGACAGAAGTCAATACCGCTCCACCATACAAAAGGACCGTTATCGGACAGAAATAATGAGATGCTTAAAGAAAGAAATTTTATCGAGGTGTCTACGAATATAGTAACCATTGCCATTAGAAGTATTCTTTGGCAAGAGAATATTGACAAATCCAAACGAATATGAAACAGCTAGAAAAACTACAATTATTACTAAATCTGGAAAAACAGTTCATAAAAGCATATTGATATGGATGGCCCCAGTTGTCGGCGCAACAATGAATCTCACTAATTACAGTAACGCTAATCAAAATGTTGACAATGATTGCAAGGTCTAGACAACTAAATTAATACATCTTATTGACCCCGACCAAATCCAAACTATATTAGGTTGTCATCATCATTATACTGAAAATAGTCTTAGAGAAAGCCCACTATACGCTACTCCTTACCATATAATAATCATTCCTACTCACACTTTCCAAACATCAACAACATTCCCCAGGTCACAAAGAGTAGATCCCTAAATTGGTTAGGTATAGGTTTCGAAGTTCATAACCGGCAGCCCGTACATCGACGACCTGGTTAAGATAGAAAATAATCTAAATAACAGAGCAGAATACAATAATAAAATATGTCATAGATAATAAACAACTAAAAGAATGAATAAACTTACTTTAGTAACTAACGCTCTTCAAAATTCTATTGAAAAAGCAGTTCGGTTAGGATCGAGTTGGCCATTAGTTTTCAATACTAAATAAGGCTAGTAAAAGAAGAAAATAATCTACACAAAATAAGCCATAGAGATTTCGAACGAATAGAGCGAGAGTCTGCATCGATGCAGAGCGAACAGCAGATCGCTAAGCCAAAAGTGCAAGCGCGAGATACACAAACTTACATTGGGAAAGATAATCGCACAACTGAGGTGCCGTAGAGATAAATTTTGCCTCTAATGAATATGAACAAAATGTGGGGCACTGCCGGCTGTTGCGAAACGAATACTACTCCAGCTAACCATTTACTCGACGAAGGCCATCTTGGTCAACGAATGTGTCCGTGACATTCGAGCGACTGCAACCTCCAGAAATAACCCAGCCTAACCAAGACTGTTGCATTAGCAGCAATCGGGAGTACAGTTGAGATTCAGACTCGAGAAGACCATGGCAGGGAACAAAGGGTTCTGAACGTTTTTTTTACTAGTACAGTGCCAGTGGCTAAGTTTCTCAGGTGAAGCAGGATATGGTGCTTAGATCGATATGCACGGCAGCTGCACTGCCTCAGTTGATGAGCAGTCCTTTTGCAAAGAGCGAGCCTCTTTGCCTCTCTAAATCGATTAGCCGGGGTCAGGTTTTAAAAGCTCTGGCAATAATATATTGAGTGCTGAGACTTGTGGCAAGCAAGGCGGACCTACGCAAATCATATATACAATTACTTCGCACAGGGTTACCTGGCGCATAGCTTGCCATAGCGAAATCCAGAGTCTCCAGTCTGCAGTCTCCAGAGTCCTCCATCACTGCTCAAGAAATCAATCCAAAATTGAATGCTGGAAGATTGGGTTCTCCAAATTGTCCTCCTATTTCGCTTGGCTCGATAAGACGTTTTGTATTTAGCGATTTTGAACGAATAGATTTATATGTATTGTTAGATCGAGAATCTTCATCGATGCATTATGCATAATGTACAAAGGCGATTGAAGTGAGCGCCTTAAATGAAGAGCCAAAGGTGCAAGCGTGAGAGAGACGAGCTTAGATAAAGCGCGAGAGAGACGAACTTAGACAAGGAAAGATAGTCGCACAGCTTAGGTGCCGTAGAAATAAATAAATAACATGCCACCCCTCTCCACGGAAGTTCTTTTTGCTGAATAAAACAACGCTTTTGTATATTGTTAAAGTCCGCACCCTAGTGAGGAACATTTCACATGCCTTTACCATCGCAAGCAGGCATGTAGAATTTCGAAACATTTAAAAAATTTATGGTCCTGGTAATCTTCTGAAACAAAAATAGATTCTTACGGAATATCGAAGGTACTAGAGTTCATCTCTGTAATACTGGTAATCGTCCAAACCGATGACATTTTTACTCGTGTTGATAAGGTAAATCAAACTGTACTCTTAAATAGGCTTTACCTCTTGGGATTCCTTGCCACAGTGATAATATGGAATAACTCGTTTTTAATAAGCCGTACTCAGACGGTAATATTTTAAAACTACAGGGACCGCATGGCTTACTCGGCTTTGATATTCATTTCATTTAGAAGAAATTTTGAGCAGAAATTTCAAATTTTTGTCGATAGAAATTGGATCTCAAACAAAATAGTTTAAATAGTTTTTTTCCGAGTTAAATTTGAGACTCATTCGATTCGTGTCGACGTCGCGGATGTGTCGTCGATAGTGCTGGTAGTGGAAGATTTGGGTCAACTGTCAACGGCAGTTTTTCACTCTTTGTTGTTTCACTTGTTCCTCATGCAAGCGTTTTCATTGCTAGCAAGTGCTGCCAATAGTCCTAGCGATAAATTTACCTTTAAGGGTCCATAAATCGACAGACATGGCAGAAATGTATTTCTGCTGGAGTCGGTGGATAATTCGAGATGTATCGATGATCTTACAAGATATGTCAAAGAGTGATTCATTGTCTCACGATCGTGGCTAGCAGTCAGTTCTGTTGTTTCGCAATTCTGCTAGCATAGCGCCCTTGTGAATAATTTGTCCTGTTTTTGTTTTTGTCTTTATTTTCCTTTGACGAGACCTCACTCAGCGGCAGAGTCTCAAATTATATTCTTTGTTGCCTGCTGTGCACATATTCATAGAACACACGCACATTTCTTTTCACCAGTAGAGCATTGCGACTCCTAGCCGCCAGTACAAATTCTGCGAATCCTTGTCGTCGGTACAAAATTGAAAGGTGTCTCAAAACACTATTTAATTCGTTCTGCGACACGGTTTTTCTGCCAAATCACACGCCATCATGTGTGAACTGTAAGCTTATATTATATATTCTTAATTTCTCTCAACCTTTTTAGAATAATAAATTCTTTTAGAATAATATCCTTAAAACTATTTTACAAATATTTTATTCTCTCCGTTACTCGTAGAGTAAAACGGTATACTAGATTCGTTGAAAAGTATGTAACAAGCAGAAGGAAGCGTTTCCGACCATGTAAAGTATATATATTCTTGATCAGGGTCAATAGCCGAGTCGAACTGGCCATGTCCGTCTGTCCGTATGAACACCTCGATCTTAGGAACTACAAAAGCTAGAATGTTGAGATTTTGCATGCGGCTTCCAGAGACATAGGTATATTGCATTGTATATTTTTGCATTGTTTTATTAGTCTTCTAAATTTCTATCGTTTTCTGTTGAAAAAGTGTTAAAAGTTTTAAATTTTTTTTCCATTTTTTTTAAGATATTTCTACCGATATTCAAGAAAATTAAGAAATCTCGTTCGCACTTTCACTAGCTAAGTAACGGATATCTGATAGTACCTGATAGATTTTTTTTATTAGCCTTGTTAATTTCCACCGATTTGCCAAATATCTGTTTGCCACGCCCACTCTACCGCCAAAACTGTCACGCCCAAACATTTAAAAAAACTCTTTAATTTTTTTTTTCGCAATTTCTACCGATATTCCAGAAAATGTTAAAATTTCTCGTACGCACTTCCACTAGCTGAGTAACGGGTATTAGATTGTCGAGGATCTCGACTATAGCATTCTATCTTGTTTCTATTCAAAATAATATCCTTTTTACTCAATTTCACTTAAATCAAGATTATTAACATTTACTTTCATTTCCTTTTTCATATTTCTTCATAGCCGGTACAATATAAGTTTGGCTTCCTGTCCCCCGCCTACGAACCTGTTCGTAGGTTATGGTGCGGTCTTTATATCCCTTCTTGAGAATCTGACACACAAATTGAGTCGTCTATTTTGTTAACGCTTCTTGATTATTTGGTAAAGCTCTTAATTCAGGAGAATAATTAGTGATTAGTGATAGATTAACCTATTAGTGATTTAAGTTCTATCGATCCCTATAAAGGACTTTGACTATCTTAACAGGAACCGTGAATTTTGGACCAAGTTTAGTTTGATGGCGTACTTCATTCTTTAACAAACGTGATCACCTATCCTATGTTTTATAATTTCTGCTTTGTTTTTGTTGAATCTTATTTTATCAAATCGTGCATGCAAGGGAAAATCGGTCTGATGTTCGTTTGCTAACTGATGTAGAACCCTCACTGCTATGAATGGTGCGCTAGACGTCCCGTATGTTACCGTGGAAAGCTCATTGGGTTTGAAGTGGTTTTATTTTCGCCACAAAATCCCTTAGTAACTACGTAGTAAACATAAAGAATGAAGTTAGTCAATTAGACTATGTTACTAAGCCAATAAGATTTTTTAAAAGCTAACTTCTACAGAATAAAAAGACGATTTGATTTAGAGTTTTCGAACGAAAAGATTTATTTGAATTGTTAGAGTGAGAGTCTGCATCGATGCACATATGCATAAGTTACGAAGGCGATTGATGTTAGCGACTTAAATGCAGAGCGAACAGCAGATTGCTAAGCCAAAGGTGCCAACGCGTGAGTACAAGATAGAGAGATCGCAAGAGAGACGAGCTTAGATAAAGAAAGATAATCGCACAGGTGAGGTGCCGTATAGATAAACTGTGTCTCCAATGTTGGCAATAAACAAAAACAGAAAATTTAGTAACTGCTGGCGGATGCGAAACCCGACATAATCCCCCCGTTGGATGCGCAGCTTTTAACAGAATCCCTAAGAGGCAGCAGACGCAGCTCATTCACTGCTCGCTTCATCGAGTTTCATGGGTTTCGGTCCCTGAATCCAACGAAGACTTATCCAGCTGACCATATACTCGACGAAGGCCATCTTGGTTAACAAAGGATGAATGCGAGGCAAGTGAGCTAGAAGACTGTACTAATCCTTTAGTGTACGGAGATTTTCCAAGAAAGACGCTTCGACGAAATTCCAATACTGGTTTTTCCGTTAATGCCCTACGTGGCCAATCAGTAAATCTATGTGTTGAGAACGATGAAAATCTGGGTCCGCGAGCTACAGATTTTGGGGTATGTTCCACCTGCAAAAGTAAATGTTTGAGCAGGGCTGATTTTCGATAATATTGGAGGCAATAACAGCAGTGATGTCGGTCGAGTAGTTAGACATTCGAGATCATATTAAAATATTGACTGACGAACCATCTCAAAACTAGAATCACCTTTTTCGGTAACACAAGCTGATGAATTCACCTTCTTAAGTTGAAGCTGATTTGCTAATCGGAATGCTATAAGCTGCAGTTTAGACCCAGAGTGGAGAAGAACTACTACGGTGCCAGTGACTATGAGCACAACATCCTTACTAAGATCCTGTGCAAGAAGCGCAGCAGATATTCCAGGCAATGCAGAGGGTTCGACAGCATGATGTGAGTCAGAAACAAGCGTTTCTCCAAGCTGTGAAAGATAATCGCATAGCTGAGGTACTGTAGAGATATATTGCAATTTAGTAACTGCTGGCGCCTGCGAAACCCGACAATGGTATTGTATGATCATTTTTAGTCCGTTGATGGA